GATAGTTCAGGCTCTCTCATGCAGAAAATAGAGGAAGAAAACCCTTACAGTTTTTACCCCTCTTCCTTCAACTGTCTTCTTGGTTCTCTCTGCTTATGCCTATTTTCTGGTGATGCTGCACAAGGACAGTGCTGGCCATAAGCCCAACTTATCTTTTGTTGAAATCAGTAGAACGAGAGCAAATATTATCAAATAATAAGCCACAAGTAAAGGCACCTTGATTTGACTGACATTACAGAATAACTCATCCTAATTTCTTGTCATCTTTCCTCTCCAATATGATACCCGCATTCCTTGGCAGAACACTCAGTATCTCAGTGGCACTGCTAAGAGCAGATTAAGTGTCAGATACATCAACTGGTGCCCTTAGGAGTCACAGAAAGAAGGTCGTGACAAAGCAGGCTAATAGTGATGATGAAGAAGAATGCATGCAATAAAAGTAACAGAATTTCTTTACTAGATGTAGTACTTAGAAATTCCTATTTCAAGCAGTTCATCAACTCCCAATAATTATAGTAGGTAGATTATCCACACTGTGGGCTAAGCCTGGACAGTTGTTTACTCTCAGGCTGGATTTTCTATCCTGCCTCTCAATTTCTAGGGACATTCATCAACTGATCATATCTGAGTATTTTCTTTCCACTTCTTTCATGTACAAGTAAGTGCAAGCAGATAGCAGACCAGGACAAAAAAAGTTAGATAAGTGTAGGTGGATTACAGTAAAGATAACATGAGATTTCATCAAGATTCCTATCCAGAACTTGTCTCAAAGCAGACACTCAGTAGACATTTGCTGAACTGAGTGGATGGAGTTATTGAAAAGTTGAATTAGAAGACTTTTAAGGTTTCTTCCTATCCTGTTACCTATGACTCCTCAGAAAGATGATGGAAAACCTGGAGTGACCTAGGAGATAGATGCCCAAACTCATCAGGAGCAAGACAGAGAAGTTAAAATGAAGGGACTCATCTCAGGCCAAGATGGACCTGAATGAATAAGACAGGACTGAATCAAACTGTTACACCCCAGCAGGATCCTTGGTCCTAGGTAATGCCCCAAAATTCCCACCCAGAGTCTAAGGGGACTAAAAAGTTCTCTTAGGATTTAAGGTATGGACAAAATCTTAACTGAAATCCCAGACTTTAACTTACTTAGGATGTCTGAGAAGAGAGTGTGCATGTTGGTGGGGGTGGTAATAGTCTGTTTTGAGGTCCTGGATTTTCTGATGTATTGTTGCAGGAAAAATTCTTAGAAGTTATCTAAGCCCACCTCCAACGCAGTAGAGGAAATTTTTCTACAGCTTCCCTAACAGAGGGTCATCTGGTCTCCAGTGACAGGAAGTTCACTTTCTCCAGAGGCAGCAGCAATGTTACTAGACAGCTCCCATGTGGGCAGGTTCTTTCTCCTGATTCTAATGTCTATCCATTGATGCAACAGACACCAGCCCTGCTTCCTCATTTGTGGGGCAACACTCTTGACACCTGAAGTCAGGAATTGCTTCTTTTTTCCCTCCATCTTTATGCCTGCCAGCAAACATTCCTCACTCCTTCCACTGCAGAGACATAGATTGTGGGTGCCTTAATGTGATGCTCCTTTGACAGCACTCTAACTGAGCTATGTCGCTTTTAAAATGAAGCTGGCCGTATGAATGTTGCAGAGTTGAATGCAGTGGTCCAGATATGGCCTGGCCTAAGGAGAGGAGAGTGAGACTACTTCCTATTCATTTTTAAATTATCAACACTATCTGCTTAATCACCTATTCTAAAATGGTGCCCCAAATAGCCGTTAAGTTGGCTGGTTCCTTAAATTCCAGGATCTTCTTTCACCACTCACTTGTCCTTATTTGTTTGTCTTCTGCTGGTTGGCTCATCTCCTGTGCTGCCAATGCACTCCCATCTTTGGGTGCCTTTTACTATTACTTGTTTGGCACTGGGTAGGGAGATACTCAGGTTTCCCCTAACTTTCTCAAAATGTCTATTCCTGTTCACCACAAATCCTCAATCTACCTGGCATAGAGAAGTTCTAAATACTTGTTGACTACATAATGAATAAATTCATGAATAAACTAGTAGCAAATATTGGTTGGGCACAGTGGCTCACACCTGTAACCACAGCACTTTTGGAGGCTGAGATGGGTGGATCACTTGAGGTCAAGAGTTTGAGACCAGCCTGGCCAACATGCTGAAACTCCGTCTCCACTAAAAACAAAAAAATTAGCCAAGTATGGTGGTGGGCACCTGTAGTCCCAACTACTCAGGAGGGCAAGACACGAGAATGACTTGAACCTGGGAGGTGGAGGTTGCAGTGAGCCGAGATTGTGCCATCACACTCCAGCTTGAGCAACAGAACAAAATTCAGTCTTTTTTTTTTTTTTTAAAGGGCATCAAATGTCACCTACAGGCTTGATCACACCAGCCTGTAACAATCCGCCTCCAATAGGAACCTGTCTTTTTAGCATCCTGGTTCATGACCCAGATAAATAATTTCTTCTCATCAGTATCATCTACTGAATCTAACTATTCATTTTCATTGTTCCCCTTCTCTTCCAAAGCCATGGCTACACAGAAGAAAGTGGCAAATACCATCTGACCTGCTAAGTTATTTGATTTTCCTACCCAAAACTTCACTGTCTTTAGAACAATCCTGTTCCATCCAACAGCCATTATGTGTGACATGTGGCCAACAGAATTAGGAAGTGACTAATGGGCATGACTGGGTGGACTGTGTGGCCTGTCAGATGCTTACACTCTTCATGAAGGCGGGTCCCTCAGGAGGCAGGGCAGCAGGCCTCACAGAACAGTTCTTCCCACTGGCAACAGGGTTCTTGCCTGCCCTATGAAGAACCTTCCTGTTCTCAGGAACACAGACTGCAATTATGTGACCACCTTCTGAGAAGCAGAAAGCCTGCATCTTTTGTGTTCCTTCAGTGATAATGCATTATTACACCTTTTTCATGACCTTCCTCTCAGCCCCTCTTGGGTTTTGTTCTCCTTCGCCCCAGTGGAAATCTTTTCTTTTTAAATTGCTTCCAATCTGGTTTGTCCCACTCTTTGCTTAAGAAGTCAGAATGAAGGAAAATATTCTTCCAACTCTCCCTCTTTATTCTAAAGAAAAGATGAGCATGAATTAACTGCAGGTATGTGATGAACATGCAAGAAAGAAAAATGTATCCTTTATATCTTCTGGGATCCCAATTTCTTCTGTTTTCAAAAGAACTGAGAGTTCATCATGGGTTCCTATGAAAAATTCTACTGTAAATTGCTTCAGAAAATTCTAGGTTTTATACCTGATAGTCATGTATTTAGGAAAAGTGCTTTAAAAAACTGCTTAGCTCCTAGATGGCTAAATTGCTAAATTACCTATATCAACCATGAGTTATTTAGTCCATCTACTTGCCTCTGAGACAGATAAGAGTATTTCTTCTTTATAATGACCTCCAGGAAAAAAAAAAATCTTTCATCCTTACATTCATAGTCTCATGCACTCAAAGTTTACAAGTTCTTCTTGAGAGATAACCCAAATCCCTTTTACTGGAGCCTAAGACCTTTTTATCTTTTTTCTGTTCCCAGTGGCTATCAAAAAGAAAAAAAAAAAAAAAGACACTATTCAGTATCTATTTGTTCACAGTCTTCTGCCTAAAGTTATTCAGGGATCACTGTTTCATTCAACATCTTTCCAAGCATGTGATGGCTGCTCTTAAAATTTCCTTTACCACCTGCCCATTACCCCCCAACCCTCCCTTTACACTCATTTCTTCTTTAGCAATCTGAGATGCAGTGCTTGCCTCACTTGACACCTGCTTCAAGAACTTAATCAGCACATTCAAAAATTATCCCAAGTCTTCCAATAAAGGCAAAGCTGGGTATATAGCTTCCTTCTGTAATTCACTAATTCTCCTATAAAATGCAAAGAGACAAGAGGAAGGTTTCGAAAATCCAAAGCACCATTTCTTATTTACCACAACAAACATTTCACAGTCTTTGGCCCCACTAAGAGACAGTACTGCTGTTGCTGCTCAAGAAAAAAGATGGTGAGACAGTACCAGGACTGGACTCAGGAGGGTTGAGTTCTAGGCCAGGCTTTGCCACTGACGCTTGGGAACCACACACATCCCCTGTCAGCCCCTTTCCCTAGGCAGGACATGACACATATCTGCCTAGTTTGCTCCTGAGGGCTCTCCCAACTCTCACATCCTGTGTTTCTCTGATCAAGTGAATATCTCTTCTCTCTCTTCACAAAATACATAAACTTTGTTTGTGGCATGTCTCCCATACCCACCTGTGGCCAGTACTACCTAGACCGGTGTTTCTCACACTTTTAAAAATTATCGTCCGAGGCCCTAAAGGAGCCTTTTACATCTTTTTTCCCTAATCACCTTACCTAGTGAAAATTTAATACCACACATTTACCGTACATTGGTACAGTATGTATACCTGTGCTTAATACATGAGAAATTTTGCTATCCCCAAGAACCAATTTTCACTCTCTCTGGGGGCAACACCACTCCCACTGAAAATGCATGACCTAAATTAAGCTGAGTGTCTCCTCTAGCTGAGTGATACAAGTGGAGGTATTTATCTCAAACCCCAAAAGCCACAAATCTATCCACAAGCTAGAGGTTTTGAAAACAATCTATTGCCAAACCGGAGTAAAATCAACCAGAGTTCCCATTTTACAAGGCAAAAAGCAGCTTCCTATCCCTACTTCTCAGGCCACACTGTCTCCCAGTGCAGGCCCAGTGCTGGTCCTCTTAGCCTGAGACCCTCCCCTCTGTCTAGAGTTGCCACTCCCAGCTCCCACCCCATTCACATGAATCCCAGCAGTAACAATGGGAATGATGGGAATGAGGCAGACAATAGACAATAGTGTTCCAGGAACGGTTAGAATCCACTCCAAGGGTAGATACCACCAGGGTCCCTGGCAGGGATGGAGGCTCCTTCCAACAATGGCATCAGCCCAGCTCCCCTCCCCCTCCTCTGCAGGCCATTCCCCTTCCCCTTACCTTGGCACGCTGGCCAAATACGTCACGAGTTTCCGCAGGTCTTCCTGTCTTATTCTGTCATGATTGCTGCGAGCAGGGAAGGTCAGGATGGGTCCGCCTCGCTTATCACGACCCCCTGCAAAGAGGAGGAAGAAAAGTGCGTTTAAGAAAACTAGCCACAAAGGAAAGCCACCGGGAGAAAAGAAATCGGTCTGGGTGCTGAATGAACAGACAGAAAGAGGGTATCCAGAGAAATCTGATCACTGCTTAGGACAAGCTGTGGGGGTCTAGCTGTAGGTAGCACATATGACTGTGGGCAAATCTTTTGGCTTCCCTGGTGCCTCATCTGTAAAAGGCAGATGAAAACAATACTGTGTACATTACAGAGTTGCTACAAGAAATGATGAATTGGTACATGGGGATGCACCTGGAAAATTTGAGATGATATTCCTCTACAAATATGAGATGATGATGAAAGTGGTGACAACTGTTCTTATTGAGAAAACAAGCAGGTTGAAAGTGCTATGTTCTTTGGAAATTTACAGAGGTCTGTTTATAAAGAGCAGTAAATTAGTCTAGAAAGAGGTGGAAGGGCTTGTGATGAACTGACTACTATGGTGAGAAGACCTCAAAGCATCCATCCCAGGACAGCATTACTGGGAGGTTTTTAGATTCATAGAAAAAACATTAAGTATTTTCTACACAGCCAAAAAGCCACCCCTGCCTGTCTGCCTGAGGCGCCACCTGTCACTCCTGCTGGAGGAGCACATGAATCTTACCAGAAATCAGGATGTTCAAGGTCTTAATCACTGCAAATGCATATGTACATACTAAGATTACAAGTGTTTTCTAAATATCACATTTAAAATAACTGGAAGGAGTGTACCAAAACGACAATTGCTGTTGCTATTAGAAGGCCAGGATTTTAGACAGTTGCTTTTTCTTTCCTCTACTTTCCAAATACGCTATTCACTATTTAGTATATGATTTTAAAATTTATTCACTAATGGACACTATGCCTAGGAAGGGAAACCAAGTTTCTCAGGGCTGTTAGACAGGAAAAAAGTTAAAGTTAACTATGACCTTACAGGGTGCTGGCCACTACACAAAGAAAACCACTGTGTCATGATTACAGACTCCTCACACCACATCTCAGGTAGCCACCTGACATATCCCAGAGTAGGACCACAAGGGGATCTAATGAAAAAGAGGGGAGAGGTGCGGCCTTCACTGGTGCTGGAAGACAAGGATCTCTTACACAGAGAGCAGAGTCTCCCGGGGATCCTGCCCAAGTGTGAATTCATGAATAAGGTTTCCCTCTGATTACGGAGTCCAGAAGCCACACAGATAGAGGGGAGGCTTGACAAAAAAAATCAATCCTGAAAACCCTTGAGGAGGAAGTAAGCAAGCTGCAGGGAGAAAAGGATTACAGATGATTACAGAAGGCCACTGTGAGATTCAGCCCTAACGAAGAAGTGTTTCAGCACCACCACCACTGCCCAGCGCCCCACACAGGGCAGATTCACACAGATTAACTCAGAGTTGGACCTTTCACATCATTAGCTCTGGTTCTTTGAAGCAATGACCACCCTTGTCTCATCTGCCTTGGAAATGATCCCCATCTCTCCATTGTCTTTCACATGAGGAAAAGGAAGCAAGAAGATTAAATGGAAGGTCTCGCAAAAGCTAGGAGGTCCTCCCACACTCTCAACCTTCCCCTCTTGACTTCACCCCAAGCATTTTCACTCCAGCAGTTTGTTTGTTTGCTTGTTTTACCATAGCTGTTGGTTTTTTCCTGACCTTCTTTGGACATTTTACAAGTAGACAAGTAGAGCCTTGGAACCACAAGGAACCATAGCTGTGACTAGCAAAGGGTGGCTTGGAGGGCTGGCTGACACTGTCCCTCCCAAGCTGGAGCCAGGACTGACTTTGAAGACATGAGTCGCAGGATGTAGCTGGGGAGGTTTCTAGATGACTGGAAGACAGTTGCTTTTTCTTTCCTCTACTTTCCTAACTTCCTATTCACAATTTATTACATGACTTTGTGTGTGTGTGTGTGTGTGTGTGTGTGTGTGTGTGTGTGTGTGATGGAGTCTTGCTCTGTCACCCAGGCTGGAGTGCAATGGCACAATCTTGGCTCACTGCAACTTTTGCCTTCCAGGTTCAAGCGATTCTCCTGCCTAAGCCTCCCGAGTAGCTGGGATTACAGGCACGTGTCACCATGCCTGGCTAATTTTTGTAATTTTAGTAGAGATGGGGTTTCATCATGTTGGTCAGGCTGGTCTCGAACTCCTGACCTCGTGATCTGCCTGCCTCAGCCTCCCAAAGTGCTGGGATTACAGGTTTGAGCCACCGTGCCTGGCCTATTTATTATATGATTTTAAAACGCATTCATTAATGGACACTATGCTTAGGAAACAGAACCAAGATTCTGCTTCTTTTTTCTGTCTAATACTCCTGAGAAACTCGGTTCCACTTCCTAAGCATAGTGTCCATTAATGTGAATGCGCTTTAAATTCACATAATAAATAGTGAATAGGAAGCTTGGAAGGTTCACATGGGACGGAAGGAAGGGTGAGAAGAGAAAGCCTGGGGAATTCTAATTCCCCACATCCAGAAATGTATAAGGAGTCAACAGGAGGCAGCACAATCAAGCCATGTGATGTTGAGAAAGGAAGAGACATTGGCAGATTGTAGAACAAAGGAGGGGAATGAGCCTAGAGGAAGAGAATCTATGCTGGGCAGGGTAGGGACAACAATGGATCAAGGCCTTAGGGCAGGCACAAGAGGAGGATCTAGCCCACGGTGGATGGGGCTGCCCCCTCTCTGAGGCAGGCTGCAGAACTCCTAGAGGAAGGAGGAAATGGAGATAGGCGATGGAGAGGGAGGCGTTCAGCCTGCCTGAGGGACACGGTTCTTTGGGTGGAACAGTAGGCAAGAGCTAGTCCAGGGTCAGGGCAGGCTCGGGGTACTGAGGAGAGAGAAATGAAGTCATGACTGGAGAACTTCTCTCGAGAATGACAGTAGGACTGGGTAGGACATGAGCTTCGGGGTTGCCGACGGGGTACTAGGGCACAGCGAAAGCTCTGTTGAAAGCTTTGGCCATGGTATCTGTGCCAGGCTCCAAGCTAAGTGAGGGCAGAATGGAACTAATGCACTGTATAAATGAGGTATGCCCAGGGAGGTTGGGAGAGGTCCTGTTGGGCGAAGAGATTCCAGAGAAGAGGGAAAGGTGTTGATTTTGTTCCTCTCACATCCGTCCTCCCCCAAATGACAAGAGGGTATCAGAAAGAGTCAAAGTAAAGGACTAAAACCACAGACAGACATATCAAGGGTCAAGATCTCGGATGTGCATAAGCATCGTAGGGAGGTGAAGGCCTTTGGTACCAAGGAGGCTGAGCAGCAATGAAGCTGCAGGATTTGATCAATAATTGACAAAAAGGCCGAAATTACAGAGGACAATAAGCAGAGATGAAGAATAAGGACCCCCGATAAAGTCAGTATAACAATAGATCCGTAACATGTTAATGGATACACATCACAGACACATACATTTTTAGGGAATGAGGTTATTCTATAATTTGGAAATTGCCAGATTAAAAAAAGATAATAAAGTTCTTTACTGTAAGACTTCCCAGAGCCTTAAAATGTTAATGTGCTTCAATGGACATTGTAACTCTCCAAGAAAGAGAGCTACAATATCCAGAATTTCCCAAACTTCTTTGAGAGTAGAACTGCTTTTTCTTTGTAGAGGATCATCCTGTGGAACTGTTCTTGAAAAACACTTTGAGAGATGAAGGTCCAGGGTACAAAAGATTGTGCCACAGCAACACAGTTTCCCTGGGAACAGTGGAAACCAATGAGGAAAACACATTGGTGGGGAATAAGGAGGCAGAGAGAAATCATGAGGAGGTGTGTATGCTCACAAAGATAACAGGGTGAAGTGGATCCTACATGGGAAAGCTGAATAAAAGGGACAATGGGTGCTATGACTTAGTACAAACGACGTCAGAGAGGCCAAGGGGAGCTCATGAGCTATGAATGATAGAGCAGAATGGGGCAGTGCTGGAACAATGGAGGCTCACTGAGAGACAGCCCCAGATCCTGTCACACAGACGTGCACACGCCCACATGCAGAAGCTTCTGGGCTGCCCTGGATTATTCCCGATGTACGCTCCTATGGCAGCATGGCTCTCCTTTTGCCTGGCCAAACCTGGGTGCTAGCAGGGGAGGGCAGGTACAACTAACAAACAGCCTGTTTCTCCACTCACCACCTTCCTTGCAGTGCTTTCTTCTTCTCAGAAAGAAATCCAGCTGCTAAACTGCATTATTTAATTCTAGGTTTCTTTATTTTGTTTTATTTTTGTGTTTTATCTTTTATCTTTTAAAAGCTCAGGATGTAAGAGTTGGTTGGTTTGGGTTTGTTGTTGTTGTTCTTTGTTTTTTTTGTGTGTTTTTTTTAGATGCAGCCAGTCATTATCTTCCCAGTATATTCAGTGTCCTTCTCAAACATGGAAGAGTAATGTTCCCTAAGCTCAGAAGTTCCTGGCACCACAAGGGCAGATGCAGTTGAGTAAGGCTCACACTGGCAAATGAGGGAGAACTATATGCCCCTAGCCCCCTTCGTCCTGCTCAAGGAATTTTCTACCTGCCTCATTCCTGACTGCCTTCCTGGCCATGTTGCTTCTATGAGCTCCATTAGGACAAGCCCCTACCACTTGAGAAGGTTTTTTTCTGGGGCTTTGCCCCAGGGTTCTGACTGAATTTATATGGGAAAAAATAAACCATGAACCTCAAGCAAGGGTCTCCATGTCAGAGTGTACTGTGCATGCATATGCCCCAAACTGATGTGGAACAGGATGATGTTCAGAGGAATGCACTAGATCCAGGAAGGTCTGGAGGAGGCAATGTAGGAACTGACTCTGGAAGGAGAAGAGAGGCTCAACCTGGCAGAAGGTGTACAGAAGGCACTGCAGAGGGAAAGAAGTGTCAGGCACAAGGGAAACAGGAGGATTGGCAGGATATCGAGGGGACAGGAAGAACATCAAGTTAACTAAAGGCCATAAAAAGAAAGAAGAAAAAATAAGATTGGGCTCCCAGAGGGCTGTGGGCCACATCCTTGGGAGCCCAGGCTATGGGGATCAGCAGAAATCAGAGGCCTGGCACTGCTCGGTGGCCTCTGGGACTTCTGCACAAGGTCTTCTCCTATGCTTAGCAAAGCAATCGGAATCCAAATTTACAAAAGTTTTGGAGGTTGTCTTACCTACTCTCCCCATACCCATATCACTGCTGCATAATGCTGCCAAGGACTTTTTCCGCCTATGCTTCAACGTCTTCAGTGACAGGGGGCTCATTACCTTGTAAGATATACTATCCCCTAATGGGAAGAGGCAGCTGCCAGGTCACTCTCATCTAACAGCAATGACAATCATAAATTCCTATTGTTACTACTGCTAATAAAATTAATACAGAATACAATTAGTCCATACAAAGTCTTCTGAGCATTCCCATTGCATGCCTGTCCTCACTTACCACATCTACACTCTGAATCATCAGGCACTCGCCTTTTCTCTGATGAGGAGGGAGACAGCTGCTCCTTAGCTTCCCCTTTCCTTTATCCCTCCCCGCCTCCTCTTCTCTCTATTTTGGCTGTCGCCCAACAGCCAGACCAACAGTGCCTGTGGATGAACTTCTGCTCCACAGGACTGGACTAGCTTTTGCTCTGTGACTCCATTGCTACTCCTTGTAGATAATCAAAATCACCCAAAAATTAAGGTTTGGTCCATGAGGTATAAGCACGTGGAATGTTTCTCAAAATATAATCTTTGGCTACTAACACTGTCTACCCCAGCCCCTGCCTCAGACCTTATCCGAAATTCTGATCCAGGAGACTTAGCATGGAGCCCTGGAACAGGTACCCAGAGTGATTCTGGCATATCTTACTGTTTGAGAATGACTGCCTTAGGGGCTCTGGCCAGTCTTTGGCTTCAATTATATCAGGGGTCACCAGGCTTTTTCCTTTAAGGGTCAGATAGTAAATATTTCAGGCTCATGGGCCAAATGGTCTCTGCAATAGCTACTCAATTCTGTTGCTGGAGTGAGAAGGCAGCCATCAAAACTACCTGTAGTAGGTTAAATAATAGCCCACAAACATATCATGGCAAAGACTTCACAAATATCATTAAGTTAATGGTCTTGAGATAGGGCAATCATTCTAGATTACCTAAGTAGGCCCTAAATGTAGTCACAGGTATCCTTAAAAGCGAGGGGCAGAGAAAGATCTGACACAGATGCAAGAGGAGAAGGAAATTTGATCCTGAGGGTAAAGATAGGAGTGATGTAGCCACAAGCCAAGGAAAGTCTGCAGCCGTTGGAAGCCAGGAGAAGAAAGAAACCAATTTTCTCTTAGAACTTCTGGAAGCACAGCTCTGCTGACCCCTAGATTTAAGCCCCTGAAACTGACTTCTGGCTTCCAGAACTGTGCAAATAATAAGTTTCTGTTGTTGTAAGCCACCAAGCTTATGGAAATTTGCTGCAGCATCAATGGCAAACTAATACACTCTATTAACAAATAAACATCGCTATATACCAGTAAAACTTTGCTTACAAAATCTGGTGGATTGCCCACCAGCTACGAATTGCTGACCCCCACAATGAGACATTAAGAGGTCCACATGCACAAGATATACGGGAGAGAGAAGTCAGATACAAATATTTGGAAGTCATTATTCAGAAAAAACAAAAACCAAACATCTAAACAGGAACCCTCACTTGAGTTCCCTTTGCCAGGACAGAGAGATAAGGAGGAGACAAAAACTCTGAAAAAATCTCCTGTCCTTGATCCTTGCAGAAACGAGCTCAAAACCTCGGGAATGTGCCAAGTGCACAGATTCTCCAGTTGAAGTAACTCTCACAGGGGCCTCAGCAGCTCCTGCTGGGCCAGGGGGCTGAGATGGGGTGGGGTTTGGGGAATGTCCCTGTGGTTCTGAGTGTCCTTTAGAACACCCAGCTGGGGCCAGAGCCCTCTTTTCTCTCTCTCTCTCTCTGCATCAGCAGAAAGGAAGCAGCTGCCCCAAGCATAACTTCCACCACTACTTCTCCCTCACTAACAAAGAAGTGAGCCTAAACACATGTGCACACACACAACTTCTCTAGATCCTTTACAAAGGAAAGTCCCACAAATACTCACCAGACACGAAGGCCACTTTTTCCTTTAGGATAGGAAGGACATCAGAAGCTTTCAAACCATCATTCCGAAAAGACCCTGTGGGACAATAAACCAGAAGGAATCAGGGTGAGAGGAGCCAGCTGGCTGAATTGCAGGGTCCCATACTCAGCCTCCCAAGCCCATCATCAGTCAACAGGTCCTGCCTTGTCCAGGTCCTACAGCCCAGCCTGATGGACCAGGAGAGGGCCCACAACAGAAGGGATACTTCCACATGATCCCAGCCATGGGGATAATCAGGGCTGCAATCCTCTGGTCCTTCTCAAGGAGAGGACAGTCCAAGTCACCCTCCCTGCATGGACAAACCTCCATGCCCTGAGGGCAAAAACAACAACCTTATTACTGTTGAACAACTTGAAGATGGGGGCATTTTTAAAAATCATGTTTGTACCTCTAGTGCCTAGCACAGTGTCTGGAACACACTCAGCACTTGGTAAATATCTGTTGAATTAGTTAATTGATATCAAGATGGATTACAAAGTTCTAAATAATCCTTGCCTTTCCTCTAAGTGGCAGAGCAACTATTAGTCTTCATTTTACAAACAGGGAAAGTAAATCACAAGACTCCTACAAATGGAAGCAAAGTTGATAACAATACTCCTCTCACCACTTCTTCCTCCTCCCCTCAATGTCATCAACATCAGTCCACGACAGACAGAAGATAGGGAGACACAAATCTCCTGGGAAAGAAATGCACTACCTTGTTTAACTTGTTCTCTTTCTAAATCTTGCTTCTCAGTTGGAAAGTCCTTTCTATGTTCTAGCTGAGTTCCTGTTAGCGGGCTAGGGGCAGAAGCTTGAGGCTCACAAAGAATGGAAACTAAAGATGTCCCTGAAGGAACAGTAGTCTCAGGAGGGAAAGGACAATCCAGCCCAGTGTGATATGTGTGGGAAGTCAGAACCCAGCTTCCATATAAACGAACCCTAGGCTAGTCCACTGCTCCCCTATCATTTAACCTAAGAACCCCACAAGGACTCTCAGGGAAAGCCACCCACACTCACAACCCTTCAAACTTAATTGAGGTCTCTGTTAAGTATCACCACCAGAGACATGACACAGATAGACCCCAGATGGCGAGCAGTTGTATGTCAGCTCAGGGAAACAGAACCAGAGACCACGGATACTCGCTCTGGTTCCTTTCTCCACTTGGCTTATACCCTTGGGGTCCAAATCTGACAATTTACAAAGGAAAGCAACATGCTGGGCGGGACAGTCCCATTCAGTCCTTCAATCTCTAAAGATTGACTGCTTCAAGAAGCCCATCTGGAAATCTGGGCAACAAAATTCCAGGCCAGGCATAAGATCACTGGCCTAGGGAAGTGACGTGAGCCAACTGCACCTTCAACCAAGGAGGAAAAGACATGTGTTCCCAGAATACCAGTTTCCATGATCAGAAGTCATATCCTAAACCTAAAACTAATTTCCTAAGTGTCTCTGACCATTTTGCCTATTTCTTCTCTTTCATTTTTCACCAAATGAAGACTACGAGTCTTTTTAAGCATCAGTTGCTTCTCTTTACTAGCTCACAGAGAACCAGCTACAAGGCTCACTTTGAGAAGACCTTGAGCAACAGAAAAAGTCACACCACAAAAAAATAAGACTCTATCTTCAAAGCCTAAAAGCATTATTTTGAACTTTCTATCCTTAGTTTCTACAGATATTTATACTCTAATTTTATCTTCTCCACAGAAAAACAAGTTTCACTAATAGAGGCTAATTAGAATCAATATAAATTATTATAGAATTTACAAATGGATACATAAAGTATTTTTTCATCCTTATGCAACAAGGAGACATTTCAGCTTCCTTGGCAATCTATTAGGCTTTATCTCTTAGACAAAGATCTTTAATACTTGACTTGTTTGTGAAAAATGATGCTTCTGTATCAAAATACATTATTTTCCTTTGTGAAATATATCTTTCTATACATTAATTTTTAAAACATTTTCCTCTATATTATCATGCACTCTACTAATTTCTATAGAAAAAAATGTTATATGAAAGTTAAATTTCAGTCCTGTCTTCTTTCAGATTATTTACGAGTTCAAAAATACCAAGGCCCAAACTAATGAGATTTACTATATAAAAAGAGTCCATATAACCCTCTTCTCTCCTAAACTCTTGTCCTGTTTTTTTCTATGCTCTTCCTCTTGTTCCCTACTGTGTTGCAGTATACAAGAGGGTCCTAATTCTAAATAGCCCTAAGACCTTAAGGAAGAGTTTAAAATTTGCTATAATGGAAGCAAAAGGTTCCCCATTCTATCTCCTCCCCACTCCCACCTTTGAAGAGGAAGAGGAAGCTCCCAGTCTCATCCATCACACCCACTCATTGTGCCCCACCTCTTCCTTCTCCTCACCAGGGCCCAGGAGCTAAGAGAAGGCATGCAGTTTGTCCATGCAGCTTGCTGTCATGGGCTCCAGTAAACGTCAATACCTTGGGTTGGGCTGTTCTAAGACTCCTAGGGCTTTCACTTCCCAGGCCAGAGTCCTCTACAACCCTGTAGAGGCCACTGCTGGGCCTGGTTGTGTGTCCACCATAAGAAAACCTGAAGTGTCCTGATTTACAAAATCCATAACTAGGGGACAAGTCTTTCCAATAACAACAAACATTTTCACATTATATAAAAGGGTTTGCTCCACAGTCTCTTCAAATAAAAGTCCCCTTAGTGATTTGAATTAGTTTTTCATTTGCCAAAAATTAAATTACAAATAACTTTTCAACGATGTATGTATTATGCAAAGCCAAGTAGAACTAATTAGCCCAGCAGCTCAGAAATTGGTGACCTTGCATATAAAACCTATTTGCACTGGCTAAAGATCCTATGTATCATATCAATTCCCCCAGGGCCCTTGTGAAACCAGCTGTTGGAATATATAATAAAGGAGAAGTTCATTGAATGCCAACTCAAATAGGACCAATGAAATAGCAACATGATTTCACTATCAGGTACATGTCTTGTTCAACTCATGGTAAATAGATATTTGATGAAAGAATAAATAAATGAATAAAATATTGACCCTTCCTAAAATGACTTATACAAGGTCAGTGACTTCATCTGTCACACCAAGCACTGGCGATCTGAGTAGATGCCCTCCAGGGTACTACTCAGTTCTAATACTCTGAGACTTTCTAAACCTTCTCTTCACATTTTTTGGCCTTTAAGATCCTCAGGTTATCAGATCAACATGCTTTAAAAAGAAGTACTGGGAATAAATTCCCCTAACAAGATTCATTGCACCTTGAAGATAAAACAATTCACTGGCTTCCTGGCCCATTCCCCCACCCTGCTCAGAATCAGTTTATAGATGCTTAGGGGCAGATCACCCCATTTTGCAGCTAGCCAAAAATTCCAAAATGGGAGAATAGTGATGGAAGAACTTGCATGAGGCTTAACCTCTTGAAGGAGGCAAGCTTACCTTGCCATTGCTATTTCTGATATAAGATATACTTGATAGAACTATTGCAAAATAAACCGTAGAACAAGCTTGTGCAACCTGTGGCCCGCAGGCCTCATGCAGCCCAGGACAGCTTTGAATGCAGCCCAACACAAATCAGTAAACTTTCTTAAAACATTATGAGATTTTTTTTTGCAATTTTTTTTAGATCATCAGCTGTCATTACTGTTAGTGTATTTTCTGTGTGGTCCAAGACAATTATTTTTCTTCTAACGTGGCCCAGGAAAGCCAAAAGACTGGACACCCCTGCTCTAGACCAATCATAGACCTATTTCCATCTTGAAACAAACAAACAAACAAAAAAGCCTATCACAGGATTGCTACCTCTAAAGAAGGCCTGAAAGACAAAAAAAAAAAAAAAAAAAAAAAAAAAAGCCTTAGCCCTTGGAGTAACTGTAGGAAAAGACCAAAATCAAAATCACGGGTGGCACCCTCATGGACCTGACCCAACGTGGGTGTCGTGCTTCTTCTTAAGAACAAAGGCATGCTTCACTGACATTCAGTGCTAATCCTACCCCATTTGTGTCCTGCTGCTGTCAGAATTACAAGCCTGCTGTTCTGTTAATTAGCAAAGTTGAAATACTCCACATCTATTAAGGAAGTACAAATTACCCCTGCCATCTCCCCAGGATCCTTCAGCATGGGTCTTCTCCAAGCTCCACTTTTGCTTCTCCTTGCTCCAAATGTGTTATGCTTACATTGCTTCTAGTCATCATTTCCCATGTTGGAAAATGTCAATAATCCTCACTGCAGCTCCCAGCCTCTGTGTGACCCTATGTGACAATGGCTAAACTGGCCCTTGAGCCACCAGCCCTGTCTGTGGGTTTGTGGGTCTAGAGTAGCAGTATATCCCACAGGGAACATGAGTGCCTTGTACTCCATACTAACCTCCTTCAGAAAGCCATCCTGATTTCAACTAGTAAAGAAACAAACAATACGGTGGGCATTTATAGAGCATTTAGAGGTTCAAGCTTCCAGAGTATCTATGGATTGCTTTGTTTCCTTCTGGTTCTCAGTCACACCCCTTTAATGTGCACTTATTCAGAAGCTACTATGTAAGTGTTCTAATGTTGCTTCAAGTGGGCTTGAGCCCCGTCTCTGCACATTTCCCTATGCTAAGTTTCTGCTTTCTCTTTCTACATCACCCCCGTGGTGTCCAGCATGGGAACCTTGCTCAAAATGGCACTGAGTAACTGACTCAGAGGATACATAAAAGATATCTGGCTTACAGTTGAGAGGACCAGAGCTCATTTGGCTGGACTTTAGTTTGGTTGTAATTTTGACATTTCCCTATTTTTAAGGTTATTCTTTGATTAATTCTATATTGAGCACTTATTATGTGTCACACCATATGTCAGGGTTTGGTGATAGTAAGACAAGAAATGGATCCTGCCCTCCAGGGGACTTCCAAGTGGAAGGGGAGGGATTGAGACAGGGTTTCCAAATAGGACAATTAACTGTTTTCAGAGATAGGACATCACCTTTACACAATGCAAGGAGGCGCAAAAAAAAAAAAAAAAAAAAGAGCTTCTTAAAAATGAGTCCTAAAGCCTTGCTGTTCAAGGTAATAAGCATA